CCATCTTGTTTAAGTAGGGGCCCAATACTGGATGTTTTAGACTTTGATTTGGCATAAGAAAAGAAATACTTTGGGTTTCTTTCAATTTCATCTATGGATTTTAGTTCTTCCCATGTTTCTTGACTCCCGTAAGATTCCTTTAGCTTTAGTTCGATGTTTGCTATTTCTCTGACCAGTGTCTCTCTACGTATCGCAGATACATTGGCTTCTTGTAGCCGCTCTGTTATTCTTTGCCTTCGCCTGTATAGGGAGCGCCTGTCTCTTTCTAGTTTACATCTCCTCCTTTTCCTTAAGGCTTAAGGGAATATGCCTTGAGCATACCTCAAGTGCCACAGAGTTAATTTGTTCTAGACATAGGGTAGGATCCGTGTTGCTTAGTCTATCTTCCCAGTTTATATCATTTAGGACTTGGTTTACTTCGTCTCGCCTTATGTTCTTGTTACTGAAGTTGAATTTGGTGAAGGCTCCCTCGTGACTGATCTCATTTTGTCGGTCTGAGGCTCCCCGCATACATGTCTGAACCTCTATTATGTTGTGATCTGAGTATATTGTTTTTGATATGATGATATTTCGTATTAGATCATCATTGTTAGTGAAGATGAGGTCCAGTGTATTTCCAATCATGTAGGCTCTATAATTTGCTGGTTTAAGGTGAATTTTGTGCAGAGATTTAATAGCTCGTGTGTGGTGTGAATTTTCAACTGAACTGCCTCCTGGTGTTATCTGCTACAGCATTATTTGCTATATTCCTCCATTTTAGGTGCCTTTAGTTGAAATCCCCCGGTAACAAGATGTTGGGGGCAGGAGCTGGAAGATTTTCCAGACAGTGGTCAATTTTCGAAAGCTGTTCCTGGAATCCCCTCAAGGAAGGTTCCTTGATGTGGTGAGGGGCTCTTGATTTAGGGAATTGGATCTGTGCTCCAGTTCCCCGAATTAAGCCTGAATGCCTTCCACATCCCCCCCCCAGGCGCTGTATAATCCTCCGGGTTTAGCGCTTCCCCCTTGATTATAATAATAATAATGTTCCTGGAATTATTGGGACGTTGCATCCGGAGGCTTGTATACAACCACAATGACCAGGTTTTGGTTCTCGATCTTTACTTCTAAAACTTCAACTACATCATTTGAGGCATTTAGTAGTTCTGAGTATGTGACTGTGATATACAGGCCAACACCCCGTCTTTTACCTGTTCATTCTGTCACAAGCGGTTTTCTATATAGTAGTATGTCATTGATGTCAGCTAAGACTGTATACCTTGTACATGTATTTGTAGAAAATAAAGATTATTATTATTATTATTATTATTATTATTATTATTATTATTATTATTATTATTATTATTATTATTATTATTATTATTATTAAACAAATAACAACCACAAACAATAACAACAGTTAAAACTCATCCTGAACAACAACAGTGCACTGGGTGGGTTTAAATAGTTTTTATCACAGTGAAGAGTTACGTTGTTAGCAATAAATGTGTAAAAATTTTCATCCAATTAACCATACCTAGGGGACGTGTAGTTACTGATGAATAATTTCCTGGTTAATCATGATATTTGTACCCACTGTAGAATTAGAGATTTTTTTTTTCAACCAGTGTAAAAGTAAGAAAACAAATTAGCTTAAGATATATATTTTAAGAGAGAATATAATGTGCAGCACGAGGCAGAACGAGACAGCATCTACACATTATTGGAAAAAACAAGCGCCCACTCCCGCCGTTGTTGGCCTCGCTGCTGCATTCTCCAAGCAACCCTATTTTAGACATCTTTCTTATTTTTTCTCACTCTCCATACTCTAGTATTTACCATGCTATAATGCCTTTATTTATTTCTTCATTTCACCAGCTACGAGGGACAATGAGTGGGAGATTTTGCTTTTAAATATGAGCGGTGGAGGGTGAGCGATGATGCTTCCCTGGAAATCTTGGTAGCATGACCCCCAGTAACGCTCTTTACAATGGCTATATTTTCTTGTAACTCTTGTAGTGTTTGCTCTTTTAACTCAATTAAACTGGAGGTCTATTCTTCGGTATAAAGTCATTTGTTAAGTCTCATTTTTTAACATGCAAATATTTTGTAGTTTTTACATTCTATCTCTGACAACTGGAAGTTGATGTTCTAATTTGATCTATGTATTATTCTTCAGATTTATAATGCTATATTTACCGAGATTGCTGTCAGCCTTCTTGTTAATAAATTTAACATACCTCCACTATAATTTAAACATATTTCCTCTTTAATATTTGTATTTTTATATTTTTTCAAATTTCTTTAAATTTACTTTATTACCATATTAATATCTATAATTCTTGGCTTCTCTATTTAAATAGATTATATCGTTAATGTAGTTTTCCAGGTTTATAATAAACCTTTCTTTAAACTAGAGAGTTGTTTGACTTTATTGGATTATCCTGGATTGATTTGCTCATTAGTTATTATACAAGATAATTGTAAACAAAATTTGTATATTGAACCTGAATGAAAGTATATCCATTTATCTTTATTCTGAAAGGAAATTATATCAATTTTATTTATATATCTTTGAAAGTATTATAATCATAGTCTCAAATGAAGAGTGATTTACAGTAACTATTTCTGCTGGAGTAACTTCAACATCTAAATAATAATTGTAATTATAGTCCTAAGAAAAAATAATGTGATATAAAGTAAATCTTGCAATTATTATCAGTATTAATTGGCACTACAGCTAATGTATTATGATCATTTTCAGAACCACAGCTGCTGCCATCATTATCATCACCTCAGCAACCATCATTATCATCATGACTGCTGTGGTTATCATACTATAACTATAATCATCCATATCATCACCACAACTGCAACAGCCATCATTCTCATCACAACTACAACCATTATTCTCATCACCACAACTACAACCATTATTCTCATCACCACAACTACAACTATCATTCTCATCACATCTACAACCATCATTCGCATCACCACTATAGCTATCATTATTATCATCACATCTGCGACTTTTATTATCATCATAACTATAACCATCATTATTTTCATCATAACCTCCACTATTATCATCACAATTGCACCCATCATCATTTTCATCACAGTTACAACCATCCTTATCACAACTATTATTATCATTACTATCACTGTTATAGCTATCATCATCTTTACCTTCACAACTATCCCATTATTATTATCACAACTGCTATGATTACTACTATCAGGCCAACTACCATCATCACTACTGCTTCCGTTATCATTACCAACACCACACCTGCAACCACCATTGTTGTCCTCGCCACAACTACCATCATCATCACATTTATTATCATAATTGTCATTACCATGTGCTTCAATCATCACTATCATCACCACCATTACAACAGTCATCATTACTATCTTCACAACTGCAACCATCATTAATGCCTTCACTGTCCAGACCACTAAAATTAATATTAGTTTGTCTGCTTTTTTTTTTTTTTTTTTTTTTCAAATCTTTTGAAAAATGGTAGAGAATCTTTATGAAGGTAATGACACCAAAAGTTTGAAATTTGATGGGAAACTTAGAGAATTATGCAGGTGCAAAGTTAGCGATCTGGGTCCAATTTACACATCAATAATTTCACCCACTTGGTCCTATTTTAAGCCAATTCCATTGCTCTAATCGATCAGATTTTTTTGGCTGTTTCACTAGTATACGAATAATGTAGATCTCCATGAGGGACCTGACATGGATAATGTAGATCTGCGTGAAGGATCCAGCACAAATAATGTAGATCTGCGTGAGGGGCCTGGCATGAATAACATAGATTTATGTGAGGGGTCACTCAAAGGATTAAGCTTACTACTAGCATGGGCTCTTTTGGATTTAGTGTTTAACTTGATGATGATGATAATAGTAATTACTATTATCACAGTTGTCAGTGCTATTACAAATGTCACCACTATTGTTACTCATCATCCCTGTAACTTTTTTCTAATGAAATTCAAATTACTCTCATCTCTGACACTTGTTTTATTTTCATCTTATTTTAATTATGAAATTAGATAGTATATACAATTGCTGTACTAGTAATTTTTGAGTGATTGTAGTATGGTTAAAAGTATATAAAAATCGTATATACCTTCAGTGATACATTATTTGCAAGATTGTAGTAAACTAATTACTTTTTTTTTTTTCAACACACTGGCCGTATCCCACCAAGGCAGGGTGGCCCAAAAAGAAAAACTAAAGTTTCTCTTTTAAAATTTAGTAATTTATACAGGAGAAAGGGTTACTAGCCCCTTGCTCCCAGCATTTGAGTCGCCTCTTACAACAAGCATGGCTTACGGAGGAAGAATTCTGTTCCACTTCCCCATGGAGATAAGAGGAAATAAACAAGAACAAGAACTAGAAAGAAAATAGAAGAAAACCCAGAGGGGTGTGTAAATATATGCTTGTACATGCATGTGTAGTGTGACCTAAGTGTAAGTAGAAGTAGCAAGACGTACCTGAAATCTTGCATGTGTATGAGACAGAAAAAAGACACCAGCAATCCTACCATCATGTAAAACAATTACAGGTTTCCATTTTACACTCACTTGGCAGGACAGTAGTACCTCCCTGGGCGGTTGCTGTCTACCAACCTACTACCTACAACTAATTACTTATCCTTAATAATAATACACCTATCATCCGACTTACGACCGAGTTCGGTTCTGAGAAACCGGTCGTAAGTTGAAATGGTCGTAAGTCGAACTTTACTACTGAATATCAACAAAACATTTTTGTAATGACTTTATTTTATTGTTTTATTTTGGTATTTCATGTTTTACTTTACTTTTTATGCTGTTGGTACTGTATTTTATACTGTAAGGTTTAGGATAAACACTGTGTACAACACAAATAGTTGTTTATTTCCCAGAAATTTGGCATAAAAAACACGGTCGTAAGTCGAGTGGTTGTAAGTTGAGCAGGTCGTAAGTCGGATGGTAGGTGTAACTGCCTATGATAAATAATTCTAACTTGTTTTATACAGATGGATTGGAACAATCGACAACAAATGTTGCAAAAATGGCAGCCTTTTGGGTTGCAACAGATGCAGCAGATGCAGCAACAGCAACTACAACAGCAACACCAATTGCAAGCACATCAGCAGCAGCAGCAGCAGCAACAACTTCCGCAGCCACCACCGCCACCACCCCCACAGCAGCACCCACAACAACCATTACCACAACCAATGCCACAACAGCTTCACCCTCCACTGCCTCAGATTCCACAAATTGCCCCAAAAATCAACAGAACTGGAGGCTCGGCAACCCCACATTGTCTTGTGTGCAATGTACATCTTGGCATGTTTGCCAAGGGTGGCATGGAAGTTTTCTCTGAAAAGGTATAACATAATAATCAATATATACCTTAATATTAAAATATAATTTAAGATGTAGTCATACAATATATAAATAAGCACAGGTCAGCAGCACCAGCAAACCCATATGGAGAAAGTAAAACAAAAGCCTGTAGTAAATGCTGTATCTTTTGGTCTCTCATTGAAGATATCCTGAAGATATCCTCAGTGCAAGGCCAGAACATATAGTAAACTCATTTTACTCATGGTAGTGTTTTTTTGTCTGTGTAGGTTTATTTGCATCACATGTACAGATATACGTATATATACTTCACATAGACGTTATACATTTACACAATCTCAACCTATGTAAATTAATGATGCTGGGTGGAGGTCTTTAGTCTCCCTGCTTTTTAAATACTTGCATCTAACAATACCTATTTTAAAGTGATAAGCCTTTTGTTGTTTTTCATATTATTGTCTCTTGGGATCCATTCAAGGATTTCCTCTTTTCCAAAGTTGATCTGTTCTTTCTATTGTGTCTGGTCACTGCTATTTTTGTTCCTTGATATCTATATCTTGTATATTAGTTTCAAATTTAATCATTTTGTTTTCAATTATTTTATTTACATTTTTATACACTGGCTACTTGGTATTAACTTTTCTGTTTTTTTGAGTACAGTACTCTGAATGTTTGTATAATATTTGTGTCTAACTCTCTGAACAGAAATCCTTTGCCAACACAAGAATCGTCCAACTAGTGAACTTGCATAAACACAGTGATGTGTTATGCGCCCATAGCTTCATCTCGTGACTTAATTTCCAAGAATGGATGCCTCAGTCGCCAACAATGGTAACTTAGCCCAGAAAGAAATCTCCATTTGGCAACTTACAGACTCTCAAATTAAGGAGAAACAATGCATGGTGACTTGTTGCAACAGTACCATGTCAATAATCACACGTCTTAAAAGAGGCTGGTACAGATACACGAGAGAATGACATTGATCACTTGGAAGAAGTAAGTTATGCAAGTGTAATTGATGCTCTTTGGACAAAAATGTAGATCAGAATCTGAGCTCAAGTGATTTGAAATGCAGCATTGTGTTAATGTGGGGTAATATGAAGGGTCTTCTGACTGCTTTGTGATTTGTTAACAGCAACCAGCCTGTGTTGACATCAGCCTTTAATGTTTTTATAGCATTTTTCTTTTTTCTATTATTTTACAACAAGGAGTATATTTTAGAAATGTTGATGAAGCTCACTACAAGAAGCACAGCTAGATATATGAAACTCACCAGTCAAAGGAATCATGTTTTTCCTTAGTAAATCACTACTAGTGGTATATATTGACCAAACACGTTTTTTCTTCCAGAGGGACATTTTGTAATGATTCAGTTCTCCAGTACAATTAGAGCCTATTCAAATTGTTAATTTCACCTGCTTTTCTATTTTGTAGTAAATTTTCTGTACTTGACACTAGCAAATATGTGTACCGTGTTGAAAAACCTGTCCATTGTACTCTATTGATATACTGTAAGCCTTTCCAGACTTCTTTTATCTCTCCTGGATACTTCTGTGGAGTTTTGTCTTCTAGACACTTCATAATATTCTTTATATTGTTCCATTGACTGAGTTCTGTGTTAAATCACATATGACATGAGGTTCTACTAAGAGTGGAGGTAGGAATAAGGATGCAAAACTAACATTATTTTGATTCCACATATATTTTGTTAAAATACAGGTTTACATAAATGCACATTGCGCACACACACCGACTGTTCAAAGGGACAGGTCAACACTAAAGACACAGATAAGCCATAGGGATGTAAGGACATATTTCTTCAGACTTAGGGTGATTGAAAAGTGGAATGACTTGGATGAGGCAGTGGTGGAAGCACACTCAGTACACAGAACAAGGGTAGATATAAGGCCTGAAAGGCCAAAAGTCAGTGATACTAATCAAAGTTGTCTCAGAGATGGGGCCAGGAGCTAAGTCTTAAGTGGCAGTATAACAACAATTTTTTTTTTTACCGTCAGATTTCTTTCATTGTTGGTGCACAAGACAATGTATTTACACTATTTACTGTAAATATTTGTCAATAAGATATTCCAAACAATAATTGAAAAAAGAATGATTTACTGAAAATATCCTTTGGCAGGATCGTAGTCCTATATGGGATGACGTAAGGTTGTTTGGGTACTTGGTACCGAGAGAACAATGCTGATACGAATTTTTCATGACGCACTTTCCTCTAAATATCTTATTTTTATTCCACAAAAAAAATAAAGTTTGTTAGTTCTTAGACTTTTGCCAAAAAATATGCCCTTTTCTCCCACATAAATCCCAAAATATTTGGAATATTTCCAAAAGTGCATCACTAAAATTAAGAACAATCATTATTTTACAATTTCTGTAAGTATCATCCTACTTAAGTAATAAAGGCGTAGGAAAGAGAAATAAGTGAATAAGTTACTTCCGAGATATAGGCCTGGAATGCAGTCTCAAATTTTTTTTTTGTTTTGTTTTTGCGAAAATCCAGTTTGTTTTGGTGGTTTCCTTAGTAAACTGATGTTCTAATGCAGTTATCCTCTTCAAAGCACCGTTTTCTCTTACTGAAGGCCAAAGAATACGACATGGAGACGAGGGGTAATAATTTTTTATCGAATATTGCTGGTGGACTCTCGCCATATTATGGCCTATTTTATTCAGTTTAGAGTATATAACATTTATTTGTTATTTATAGTGTTTATTATATCATATTAGATCAATTCTGATAGATAAGTAAGCTGTAGAGTTGATATAAGCGTAATAATGAAGTGATTTCTCCTGCCTCTCTCTGGAGCGGGAATACTGCCAGTGTTTCCAGATGGTTCCTGATTGGTTGGAGTCTACGGATAAGCTCTGCCTACTTTTTTATGATGCCAAATAGTCAATTATTATATTAGAAAGAATAATGCCAGAAATAGCATTAAAAAACAAGGAAAAAAATCCAAAAAATATATGGGTTGAGAGCAGATGCTCTACGCACATCGCCGTCACCATACCTGATATAAATGACTATAATTTCTTGTAGAAACGTCATTGAACATTGATTCTGGTACCATTGTGTTGCCAAAGAGTTAAGCTATTTTTCTATATGAATAACTCAATTTCATAATTTTTCGAAAAAATTTCGCTCACGTGCCGCGCAACTAATACCGCCCCTTAACCCTACAGACACAACTCGGTGAGTACACACACATATATGTACAGAAAACATCCATGTCTACATCCTATTTTTACTAGGAAGTTGTCCCCTTGTTTGAGCTTCACTATCTGCACATAAACTCTACTGAGCAGGTTACTAAATGCAGTAAAGAGTTTATTGAATAGTGAGGTTTAGGTTAGGTTATAGTAGAAGGGGAGAGATGTGGGATAAAAGATATAATGGCTGATACAAAGTTAATCAGATGACTTGAAGGGTATATAAATCTGTAGTGGAGGGAAGGAGAGGTAGGGGCCATCTTAGGAAAGGTTAGAGTGAGGGGGGTAAAGGAAGTTTTGTGTGCAAGGGGCTTGGACATCCAAAATGCATGTGCGGGCATGTTAGATAGGAATGAGTGGAAGCAAGTGTTTTTTATGACTTTAATTCTATTTGAAGTGTGAGCATGCTAACATTTATGAAGGGAGTCAGGGAAACCAGTTAGCCAGACTTAAGTCTTGGAGATGGGAAATAGTGCCTGCACTCAGGAGTGGTGAAGATGTTGCTGTTCAGAGGGTCATTTTAATTATGAAATAGGTACACTTCTGGCAAGACAGCTATTAAATGAGTGATGGCGAATGCATTTCCATTTTACTTTTGGGTCACCCCCACCTCAGTGGGAGATGGTCAATGTCTTAAAAATATACTGTGTATGTAACTACGAAGTTTAAACATTCCTTCATTTAAATATTATGTTGCCTTTCTTCTGAATCGCTGAAGAAACGCATTTATGTATATACACTGAGAAAATGATAAGACATTGAAAATGATAATACTGTAAGTTTTTTTATTACTTCTTACAGTATAATCAGTTTCAGTGTCTAATCATTTTCTCACTGTATATGCAAAAATGTGTTCCTTCACTGATTCAGAAGAAAGGCAGCATTCACTCTTCCTCATCTGAATGCATGCTGAGTTATTTACTCAACAAACATAGCATTGCCAAGATTCAATCATTTTATTGTTGAAATTTTATGTACCTCCAATTTATTATGCTCAGTAGAAACAAAAGCAAAAAATATTTAGGATATTACTCCTGGCAAAGAACAAAAAGGCAGAATACCATGACTGGAACAATACACAGATAACCCCCACATAAGAGAGAGGAGCTTACAATGACATTTTGGTCCAACTTGAACCATTTACAAAGTCACATAGTGTGACTTTGTAACTGGTCCATGTTGGACCAAGATATTATCTTAAGCTCCTCTCTCCTGTATGTGGGTTAATTGTGTATTACTCTTGGCAGTTGTTAAAGAGTTAATTCGTGTTGTAATACTCTCTTCTTTACTCTTGCATTTTTGGTCATCTTTTTATAATTCAGCTGTAGAATACAAATTCCAGCATGATTCTTATGGTTGTCCATTGTTCATGTGCTTACTGGCATGACATCCTGAGCTCACTCCACTGCAACTTCTAAACAGGTCACTACATCTTTTGGAAAGATGCAGATCCACAATGTCTTAGGCTCCATCATAAACCAAGAGCTGAATACTGCCAATGTTCACTCCAGCATCGTATGTAAGAAGTGTTTCAAGCTGCTTGACGATATTGATGGCTTAGAAGGTCAGCTGGTCAACATGAAGCAGGTAGGTAATATTACCATTAGAGTAAAACTCAACAGAAGTCTGATATAAGTGTCATCTTAAAGAATTAGACACATTTGCAACATCTGGGTATTTTTATTGTAGACATTTCACCCTGCCTCGGTAGGAGACGGCCGACTTGTTAAAAAAAAAAAAAAAAAAAATTCACCATCCAGTGACTTTATCATTACAGAGTCATTGGTAGAGCCATTGGATGGTGCAACATCTATAATAAAGATACCCAGATGTTGCACGTGTCTAATTCTTCATCTTGACAGTACTATATATGATACATATACAAGGGTTACCTTACCTTATCTAAGATTTAATATAGTATTATTTTATTCATGGAGAAATTTAACCTGTAAGGGTCATAAAAGTTGTGAGGAATAATAGGCAATCAGGTTAGTTCCAGAGAGGGATAGGGTAGCTCTAACTCCTTGGATCAAGAGCCATTCAGCAGCATCAAGGACTGTTTAACATGCTCAACCCTTTCACTGTCCAGACCCCAGAAATTAATGTTGCTCTCAAGTGTCCACATTTTAAAAAGAAATATGAAATGGTAGAGAATCTTTTCTGAAGGTAATGATGCCAAACATACAAAAGTTGATGAAAAACTTACAGAATTATGCAGGTGCAAAGTTAGCAGCCTTGGGCACAATTGACACATAGGCGATTTTTCCCACTTTGATTCCTATTTTAAGCCAATTTCATTACCCCAGTGAAATTGGCTTAAAATAGCCAAGAGAAAGTGCATAGAAGTTGGTAATTTGGACAATTTTACATAAAATTAAAAAAATCCAATTTAAAAATAGTCCAAAATAAACACTGTAATTTCAGGCACTAAAACTACATTTCCTCTGTTCGTTAATCACATAAGCAGACCTCTCCTATATTATACTTGCCTTCCATTTTTAATCCATCATCAGAAATTGAAAAGTTATTCTATGTCTCAGATAATAAAATATAACCAGGAATAATTGGCCATGGTTTGCAGCATCCCTATAATTGAATCAGAGCTATTAAGATCCCATAAAACAGACCAGGGGATTAGGGGATCTTTACCGATCATCAGGAAAATTGGCAAAAATTTAATATTTTTGCTTCTTTGAACCCAATTTCAAGCTGCTTCCAGCTCTGAAATCATTCAAAACTATTTGTATTTAGTAGAATATCTTCCATCCTATCAAATGACACCAAGAATAAGCCAATAAAACTAAAAAACATCCTAGAAAACACCTCAAATTTATTTTAAACCAAACACAAGGTCAGAATTTTGCTTTTCCCATCATGCACCATGTGGGGCAGGATTCTTTAAATACTGTGCACACTTGCCACATAGACTCATTCTTTCATATCTAGGCCAAAATTTACCACTCACAGCTTATTTGAGGGAGCCGTGCTCAAAATGAAGATCTACATAAGGGACCCTGGCATCAACAATGTAGATCTACGTGATGGCCACTGAATATCTCACTCATCCTTGCCATGTGCTCATTGACTACACTGTTATGTGCCATCACTCAATGTGTTGTGCCTGCTTCACATTTACCTAAGAAGCTATGTCATGCAGCATTTTGACCTTTTTCATTAGTAGATGTATGAGGATGTTAGGAAAGAGTGGAGGCAAATAGTTTTTGAGACTTCACTAGCTGTTGGAATGTAAGTAAGGAAGCATTTGTGAAGGGATTCAGGAAAACTGGTTAGCCAGACTTGAGTCCTGGAAGTGGGAAGTGCAGTACCTGCACTCTGAAGGATGGGTTAGGATACTTGCAGTTTGGAAGGGCATCTGAACTGTAGTATCATCATACCTCTGACAAGAAAGTGATATAATTAATGATAGTGAAAGTGTTTCTTCTTTTTTGGGTCACCCTACCTTTGTGGGATATGGCTAATATGTAAGAAAAAAAAAAAGTATTATAAACTTAAGTACCAGTAGTGTCTATTGCTTGAGTAAAAACTTTTTTTCCCAGAATATTCAGTATATCCAAGAATGTAATCCATGTGAATGCAAATTCTTCACTAATTGAACTTTGGCTATCATTGTTTTAAACATACCAACTTCTCCCATCGAGGTAGGGTGATTCTCCTCCCTCCAAAAAACCATACATGTATTCACCATCAGTGAAAATTACATCACCATGAGTGATGTAATTTTTATAGTTTGATGAGAAACTTTGATGTCATATCTTGATAAACTGTGTTTTACCCCAGGTAGTATCCAGTAAATATACAATGACTCTGGCATTGGTAAAAAAAGGACTTGTTGGAAAAGCAGTCTTTGAGGAGCCTGCCAAACAACCACCTCCACCTCCTAAACCAAAGAAACCTATAAAACCTCCCTTAACAGGTGACTTTCTTTGGTGTTTCTTGTACTGATTTAAAATATTGTAAAGCTGAAAGTAATTCAGGTTAGTGCTTTATGCCTGTAAAATCTTAAATGTTTAATCTAAATATTCCTAATATGCTACAGTGTTCTTCTCTATGAATTAGCACAGTTGCTTTCTCCTTCCATTTTATGGACTTGCCCCCTGAAATGTTATAAAAACATCACTAGCAGTTACCCACCAAGGTAAAGTAATCCCAAAGAAGAAAATTTATTCATAGTCATTTGCTCCCTAACTGTCCTTTTAGAAGAATACAAACATCCCTCACTCTAAAAATCTTCCTTCCAGAAAGGTTTGTAAATGATTCAAAGAAATCTGACCAGACATAAGGTTTTTTTAATATATTTAGATTTTTTTTGTAAGAATATTGCTAATGCCTTCTTAAACAGAGTATAAATTGTCACTTTTTATTTTTATCTATATAAGCTTACTAGAATTTCATTCCTTTAATATAATTTTGCTCTAATAATTAAAACATACTACACTGGACTCTCATTTTTCGTAATTAATCCGTTCCAGAGAGTGTGACTAATATCGAAATTGACGATTTGCGAAACCATTTTCTCCATAAGAAATAATGTAAGTCCAATTAATCCATTCCAGACACCCAAAAGTATTTAAACAAAATAATTTTTTTACATGAGATATACATTTACCTAAATAACAAAAAAAGGCACAATACCGTGACTGGAACGATACACAAATGACCCGCACTTAGAAGAGAGGAGCTTACGACGACGTTTCAGTCCAACTTGGACCATTTACAAAGTCACACTGACTTTGTAAATGGTCCATGTCGGACCGAAACATCGTCGTAAGCTCCTCTCTTCTATGTGTGGGTTATTTGTGTATACATTTACCTACACAGAAAACAATGAGATATGAAGAATAAACAATAATAGCATGACACTTGCCTTTACTGACAATTCTTCTTAGTGTATGGAAGATGGAGGAGGGGAGAGGATGGATTAATTACTGTTTGTAAGGGGAATCCCCTTCAGATACCAAGTGCTTTTCCAGGGTTACTTCTGTTCTTTGTTTTTTAATGCCACTAGGACCAGCTTGGGAGTCACTGCACACCTTTGGCACTAAACATCTGCCCAGAGAACTCTGTTTCTGGCGTCTCTTTAAAATTTTCCTAAAATGGGATAAGATATTGCCATTGTACATATTGCTGACACAGCTTGCAAGAACTTTGCCAGGGTGATGTTCCTCCACAAATCTTTCCAACCTACTCCACATTGTACAAATGTCCTTAATCTCTGAAGACGGCACCTTCTTCCATCTCTCTCCCTCCTCCTCCTCTGAAGCAATTTCCTGAGCTGTGGTCTGTTGCTGTTGCAGATGAAGCTCTTGCAGCTTTTTCCGTGGTTAGCTCTTCATTGTGGTCCTCTACCAACTCTTCCACATCCTTGCTACTCACATCCAACCCCATGGAATTCCCCAGTGCCACAATAGATTCCACAATTGGCATAGGGACCTCAGGATCAGCCCCAAACCCTTCAAAATCCCTCTTTTGGACAGAATCTGGCCACAATTTTCTCCAAGCAGAGTTCAAAGTCCTAGAAGTCACTCCCTCCCAAGCCTTACCTATAAGTTTTATGCAATGGAGGATACTGAAGTGATGTTTCCAAAACTCTCTTAGGGTCAGTTGACTGTCTGAGGTCACATCAAAGCAAATTTGAAACACTGCTTTGGTGTAGAGTTTTTTGAAGTTTGAAATGATCTGCTGGTCCATGGACTGGATGAGAGAAATGGTATTAGAGGGCAAGAACTTCACTGTGATGAAACGAAACTCCTCCACAATTTGGTCATCCAAGTCTGGAGGATGAACAGATGCATTGTCCTTTTCCAGGAGGTATTTCTTCACACTGGAGCCGAACACTTCATTGAACCAGTCAAGGAAAATTTCCTTTGTGACCCATGCCTTACTGTTAGCGTTCCACACCACCCACAATTTACTCTTGGCGGCACTATTTTTCTTGAACACTATGGGATTTTCAGAGTGATACACTAGTAAAGGCTTCACTTTGAAATCCCCATTAGCATTACTACAGAACAAAAGAGTAAACCTGTCTTTCTTAGGCTTGTGTCCTGGTAGTGCCTTTTCCTCCTGCATAATGTAGGTCTTCCTTGGCATTTTCTTCCAAAAGAGGCCTATTTCATCACAATTGAACACTTGTTGGGGTTTGAATTCTTCAGCCTCTACATACCCTTGAATTCACGCACATATATGGGTGTGAAGCATGGGTGATGAATGTTGCAGCGAGGAGAAGGCTGGAGGCAGTGGAGATGTCATGTCTGAGGGTAATGTGTGGTGTGAATATAATGCAGAGAATCGTTTTTGAATTTAGTGAGGTTTCGGATTACCAAACCCGTTGTCCAGGGGCTGGGAAGGTTGTGAGGTGGTTCGGACATGTAGAGAAATGGAGCAAAAGAATGACTTTCAAAGAAGCCTGATAGTGAAGAAGGCAGCCGTAAATGGTATCGCCTGGAATAGGTTGGAGAGATCGGGTAAAGCAGGTTTTGTGCAGGGCTTATTGACTTCCAGCAGTGTGCAGGCGTTTTATAGGAGTATGATGACAAATGGTTTTTCAATACTTGACTGCTTAAGGAGTTGAGCAAAGTACATTTATGAAGGGGTTCGGAAACCGCAGGCCGAAGTCTGGAATGGGAATACAGTGCCTGCACCTGAATGAGTGTGTTAATGTTGCAGTTTAAAACTGTGTGTAAGCCCCTTCTGCAGACAGTGATGGAGTGAATGATGGTGAAGTTTTCTTTTTTCGGCCACCCTGCTTGGTGGGAATCGGCAGTGTGATTAATAAAATAATAAAAAATTTTCTGAAGGAGGGGTGTTAATGTTGCAGTTTAAAAACTGTAGTGTAAAGCACCCTTCTGGCAAGACAGTGATGGAGTGAATGATGGTGAAAGTTTTTATTTTTTGGGCCACCCTGCCTTGGTGGGAATCGGCCAGTGTGTTAAAAAAAAAAATATTTTTCAGCCGCATATTTGTCAGAAATGGCAGCCGTACCACACTGTGTATGCCACTACGCTTCTTAAATCTCTCAAACCAGCCTTTGCTGGCCTTAAATTCACTAACCTCAGCACTCGTTGCAGGCATTTTCTTTACGAGATTTTCATGCAACTGCCTTGCCTTTTCACAAATTATCGACTGCATAACACTATCTCCTGCTAATTGTTTCTCGTTGATCCACACGAACAATAACTTCTCAACATCTTCGAGCACTTGCAATCTCATTTCTGTGAGCATATTTACCCCTTTGCAACAACAGCTTTCTTGATTTCCTTTTTCTTGGCCACGATGGAAGCGATGGTTGTATGGGGTTTGTTATACAACTTGGCAAGCTCTGCAACATGCACTCCTTTCATATTTTTCAATGATGTCTTTCTTGAATTCTATTGTGTTTCTCACTTTCTTTACCAAAGGCCTGGCACTAGGAGCTTTCTTTGGAGCCATGGTGGCTTATTTAGCAGTTGCAAGCACTAAAACAAATGGAATATTATGAAATGTATCATATGAACGCATGGGATCATCCTCACTCAGTGATAAACGATGGCACACTGACTGGGAATGGAGTGTGGGGCCGCTCAGGGCTATGCATACATGTCTGGGACAAATGACTATTTGCGAGTCAAACGACAATTCGTGAGTCAGTGTTTTGACGAAAAAAGTTACAATTTTCGAAAATTACGACTTTCGATGCTTACGAAAAACGAGGGTCCACTGTATATAATGAACTTTGTTGGCTTTTTGTGAAACACAATTCCTTTGCAGGTAAGACTTCAAAGCTGAAAGTTGCTGGCAGGAGAAATCGACCACCTAAAGTGGTAAGACTTCGAAAAGGTAGTAAACTAGCAATTAAGTCTGGTAAGCTGGTGGTTAGAAGTGTCAACGAGAGTTTAGCCCCAAAAATAGAACTTAAAGAAGAGCATGTCACATCTGATGAGGAGGACACTGCCCAGGGTGATCAAGAAGTAGATGAGACAGAGGATGAAAACACACCTCATAACTGTAGTCATTGTGGAAAAGAATTTTCATCAAGGACTCTTTTGTCAAGCCATATTGAAACACACTTTTTAAATAGTGACTCGCTTAATTGTGATATTTGTGATAAAAGTTTCTTGAGTGCTGATAGTTTGATTAAACACAAGAAGCTGCATAGAGGAAAGAAAAGTAATGGAAAACAAAAGACAGGTTGCCAAGCCTTTGACATTACTCATATTAAGCAGTTCAAATGTCGGCAGTGCAGCAAAGTGTTTACAACAAAAAGCAAAGCAGAAGACCATGAAAGAACTCATACTGGGGAGAAGCCTTTTGAGTGTGATATCTGTGGGTCATGCTTCCGGCAGAAAAGTAATTTATCTTCTCACAAAAGGGTAACACATTTGCAAGAAAGAAGATACAAGTGTGAAATATGTGAAAAAGCTTTTAAATGGAAGAGATTATTAAATGGTCACACAATGAGTGTTCATACTGGTGAACGGCCATATAAATGTGAATTTTGTGAAGCTGCATTTGTTTATCAACAACATTTTAAAAAACACATGAGAATACATACTGGAGAGAAACCTTTTAAATGTGAAATTTGTGGGAAAGCATTTAATTCATCAAATAACTGTAGGGCTCACATGTTCACTCACTCAGATAAAAAGCCTTATGAATGTACTCTCTGCGGTGCAGGATTTATGCGGAAACCTCTTGTATTATCACATATCAAACAACATGGTCAAATGGAAAATTTGGAAGCTTATGTCAAGGCAAATGCCCCCACAACTGTAATAGCTTCAGGGGAAGGTAGTAGTAATGGAGTTATTAATGCCAGAAATACAGCAGTTCTAATAATAATGCTGGTATACGTAAGAGAAAAATGAGTCGTGAAGCTACTCATGCTGGAGCAATGCATGTACCACAAGGACCTCCACAGTCAGCTCATAATAATATGGAGGAACCCTTACCCCAGTTTTTAATTTCTCATAATGATAACAGAGAACCAGCAAGTACTGGAGAGACTATGGGCTATATGTTTGGCACCTTTCAAACTCAGGGTACAGTAGGTCATTATGCCCCTCTTAACCTAGGGCACTGGTGATGAATTTCATTGCTGATACCATATCCTTTTCATCTCAATACTCTGTGATGGAACTCAAGGTACAGTAGACTTTTATGTTCCTCTTAACCTAGGACATAGATGACAAATTCCTTTGTTGCTACTGTATCCTTGTCATTTGGTACTCTGTCACGGAACTCAGGGTAGAGTAGGTCATTATGCTCATCTTAACTTAAGTCATGGGTAATGAAGAGCTTGTTACAGGAGACAACCATAGAGTCATTTAAATCCTCTACTACTATTTCAGTAGCTGCACAATCTGAGAAAGGTACTATCCCCCCAGTATCCCATAAGATAAGATTTTGTTTGGATTTTTATCCCAGAGGTTAGCCACCAAGGATAAACCAGTAAAGTCTGTGCGTCATCGGGGACTCGATCTGATGTTCATTGTGGTCCTTTAATCCTCCCTCAGGATGCAGCCAGCCCACAACAGTCAACTAACACCCAAGTACCTACTTACTGGAAAGTGGACAGGAGCAGCAGGTGTAAGGAAACATGCCCAGTGTTTCACCATGCAAGGGAGTAATTCCCAGTCACCCAGTGTACTGTACCTCAGTGCACTCAAGAAGAATTGCAGAATAAACTTTCGATTTAATGAACTGTTAGATGATAAAGGGTGTCTGTTAAACGCAATTGGCCATTAAATGCAAATTAAGAAATTGCTTGTTTTCATGATCGTAACAATAGTGTATGTAAAATTAAGGGTACCAGCACATGTCAGTAGTAGTTCCATGAACCTTCCCCTAATTTCAAGCTGGTCTGACAAGATTTAAATAACAACCTTGGAGGGAGACAAAAAATGTAGCTGACTGTGCACCAGTTCTGGTAAAACCATGTGAAAATATGATAGGGCTTCTAACCTAGGAAAAATTAAAACCATGAAAATATGAATTTTCAATATGTCACAGCTTTCTTTCCTCATGCTCTATTTAAAATTTTCAACAAGTCTGTAAGGAAAAATATATTTTTTTAGGACACTGCATACCTTCTGTGACCTATGAAACAACATTTTTTATCTACATGATTTAGTAACAAGCCAAAGTTTTGTGTAAGATAGAGCAGTGTTGAAGGTTTGCAGCTGATTGGATGAGGTATTCACAAATTATCACATGAAAACAAATATTTCACTTCTCACAATTTCAGTAAAATCAGCACCTACACAATCTAAAATAAATCTAAACATTGTTCTCATAAAGATACACCAGTGGTTTGGGTTTGAAGACAATCAGAAGAGGCATCTTACCTTTAATTGCTTGGAAAACTATTTGTTTAATATAAAAAGCAAGTTAAATTTTCTAACCCTCGAATGAATGCTTCCCTTCTAAATAAAGTCCACCAATGCTGAAAGTTTGAAGCCAGTCAGAAAAGGCTCTATCTGGTTATTGCTTGGAATCCAACAATTCCAAGGTTAATAACATGTTAGTAAGTTGTCAAATTTGCATCTACATAGACTAAACTTACAGGGTACTGCTGTGTACGCAAAATATATCAGCCATTGAACGAGGCATAGTCAAATTCGAAAAGACTTGTACTAAAATATTTTTATGATGAATGAATGAGAATTTTTTTACACAAAATTGGCAAGTGTGCACCTACACACTTCAATAATACTCAGCCTTCTAAGACACACCAGTATAACAATGACCAAATGCTACCTGCACATGCCATTTGTTGCATAAACCCTTTCCTTATTACAGTAAACTAGCATTGAAAATTTGAAACCAGGTGGGTGAGGTGTTGTCTAGATATAAATCAAACTTTGGAGGAGGGAAAACAAATTCAGGCAACCATTTAAGGGCATCCTTTTGGGGATAATTCAAGCAACTCTCGTGAGACAGAAGCTACAACTTAACACTCCCATTAGAAGTTCAGGAGCTGTACATTAACAACTGCAAGAGGCACAGGAGCTGTAGATTAACAGCCTCAGGAAACTTAGAAGATAGAGCTCAACCCAAACTGTTAAAATGTGAAATAAATCTAACAAAACTAGGTGTGAAACTTCTCATGGAGGTTTAGACTTAATTTTACTAATACAGTGTGAGATTTAAACATACAATTACAAAATCTGATAGAAATCCAAACTTTTGTTTCTATAGACCATTGTTGAAAATTTGAAGCTGATCAGATGTGGCATTCATACTCAATTCACAGACATTAATACATATCCCAGTTTGTTTAATAAATCATTATATTAATGGTATCCAATACCAAGAAGCTAATGAATGAGGGATCGAATATCTTCGATTAAGGCTGAGGAACTGACCACCACCTATCAACTTTTCATGGCTAAGGTACTGAACACCTATTAATTCTTTACAGCTCAGGGACTAAGCACCTTAAAAATAGCTTTCCACTTGTAGTGTCTCCAATACAAAAATTGCCTCTTTATTTGACTGCAGAAACCACCCTACAGGCAAGACATTTCAGCCATAAAGATACCCAAGTGTTGTGCATGCCATATTTACCAGTTTGTTTAATAAAGTTGGTAAATAATACAAACCTTTCCTTGATCAGACAACACTAGTGCTGAAAACAAAGTTAATCAGAAGAGGCATTCCCCAGTTATCACTCAGAAATCGATAATCTCCACTTTATTAAGTTATTGTACATAATTGGGAAAGTTGCACCTACACAACCTACCACTGGTTAGATGCTTCAGTGTTTTAAGTTTGGAGCATATCAAATAAGGCATTCCCAAGTTATCTCAAGGAGTAAAACTAAATACCATTTTTTAAATAAAATTGCCACATTTATGCTTACTCCAATAACAGTTTGAACCTTCCTCTTAAGTGAGATACAGCAGCATTAAAAATTTGAAGTCAGTCAGAAGAGGCAGTCTTAAATTTTCACTTGGAAACCTCTTGTTCTGTTTTCATGCACGTATACCTGGAGAGGGTTTTGAGGATCAACGCCCCCACGGCCTGGTCTGTGACCAGGCCTCATGGTGGATCAGGGCCTGATTAACCAGGCTGTTACTGTTGGCCACACGCAACCCAACGTACGAACCACAGCCTGGCTAGTCAGGTACCAACTTGAGGTTCATGTCCACTGCCTTCTTGAAGACAGCCAGGGGTCTGTTGGTAATCTCCCTTATGTATGCTGGGAGGCAGTTGAACAGTCTTGGGCCCATGACACTTATTGTGTTGCCTCTTATCATGCTAGTGGCACCCCTGGGGGGATGTTGCATCGTCTGCCGAGTCTTTTGCTTTCATAGGGAGTTTTTTGTATAAAATTAGCAAATTCATACCTTCATTGACCAATAACAGTCCGAACCTTCTAAATAAGATATATACTAGTATTGAAAGCTGAAGCCATTCAGAAGTTACAGCTGGGTGGTCAGATTCTGAAGGGCAGAGGAGGGTTCAATCTTTAGGGAGGAGTTTTGATATTACTAATATCAGTATCAAGTTATTGCATAGAAACTCAGGCTAAGCAGATTCAAAGAAATCAAATAAATACTGTATAACAGTATATAAGTTCCAACCCATAATAGCTAATTGAGATGGGACAGACTGAGAAAAGTAAATAAACTACTGGACTGCAATATTGGAGCTCGAGGAAAAACCTCAGCTAGACCAGACAAGCTTTAGAAGAACTGCAGCAAGACCAGACAAACTTTAGAACTGCAGTAAGACCAAACAAGCTTGAGAACTGCAGCAAGATCAGACTAACTTTAGGAGAACTGCAGCAGGACAAGACAAGCTTTAGGGGAATGCAGTA